GTGTGGCCTGTTTACTGCAGTTATTTATTCGGCCAACATTTTCATGTGTGGCCTGTTTACTGCAGTTATTTATTTGGCCAACATTTTCATGTGTGGCCTGTTTAAAAACAGACAGAACTCCGACACTGACACAAACATAGTGCTCAACATGAACACACAAAATACGCACATACACATACTGTTACTTTTCAACACAGATTTTAAATTTAAAGAAAAGAAAAGACGTATTCACACTGAGTGAAATGAAGAAAACGGTTTTAAGTGTATTTGTGCTTGAAATCGATGAAAACCTTCGTGATCGTTGAAGTATTTTCGTGCTTGATATCAACAAAAAAAGAATACATAGGCCTAATTTGAAGCACATAAACTTGATTACAGCGACTACTTGTCTTCATATGATGTTTTGTGTTCAGTATGTTGTTCTAGTATATTTCTCTATGTTGGTGAACCAAACAGTTAAACAGAACAGAACTGTTTACGATAGAGACCCACTAGACTAAAGCCATTTGATTAATTAGATGCCCAGTTTATTCCAACCTGTCAGGATTACATTAGTTAATTCAAGAAAACAGATAATTTTAATTTTACTAGTCAATAGGAAATATACTTAAAACGTAACAGCTACAGAACTGCTTACAACCAGTAAAGATTTTTTTCAAAATAGTGGAGCTACTGGCATATTTTTCCGAGCAGAAAATCAATGTTGTGCACACTTGTCTGTGTACTTTCTCCCTAGAGTTTTAAACTATTCACTGGCTGGGCGTGGTCATGTCTCCAAGTCCCTGTCCCCATGACCTTCCACCAACTAGTTGTAGGTCTATCACCATGACCTTTCACTTACTAGTTGTAGGTTTGTCGCCATGACCTTCCACCTACTAGAGTTGTAGGTCTATCACTATGACCTTCCACCTATAGCTGTAGGTCTATCACCATGACCTTCCACCTGCTAGAATTGTAGGCCTATCACCACGACCTTTCACCTACTAGAGTTGTAGGTCTATCACCATGACCTTCCACCTATAGCTGTAGGTCTATCACCATGACCTTCCACTTATAGCTGTAGGTCTATCACCATGACCTTCCACCTATAGCTGTAGGTCTATCAACATGACCTTCCACTTATAGCTGTAGGTCTATCACCATGACCTTCCACCTATTGTTAACATGTGTTAAAGCATTTAAATAATGTGTTAACATGAGATACGGCTTTCATTTGATGTGTTAACATGTGTTAACGCTTTTAAATAATGTGTTAACATGTGTTAAGGATTTTGAAAGCGTTAACACATGTTAAAACATTATTTGAAAGCCTTAAAATGCCATAAAATGTATTTATTAAGAAACCAACAAAACCGCTAAGGCTTCGAGAGTTCCGAATACAACTTGTTCCAGAGTTTTGTAACATCTATCACGTGTGACGTGTGTTGCTGATCCTTGACCTTTACCCCCGTGTACTCATGTGTAAACTTACGTGTTGCGTCCTACGCGTAAACTCACAACACACACTTTTTTTCTATCAATCTGTAAAACAAAACACCATTGCTGTCACCTTAGACAAACAACCCCAATATTTGATTCTTCTTTTGCATTAACAAAATAGTTTAAAATTAAAATAGTCAAATATATACAGTTTTTATGTCATAGCGATATTTACAATAATAGCTGCATACCCGTGCTCCGCCACGGTGATTCTATTTTAAATGTACCAAAATCAGTAAAAAATAAACCGGGAGTGATCTTCCCTAAACTTTCTCGAATATTCTTATATAAAATAACAGGGGATGGGAACTCGGGCTATAGACATGATTTTTAACCCATTCTAAATACTTAAAGTTTTAAAAATAGAATAAAATCTCGTAGACAAAAGAATTGCACATCAAGTGAACGCCAAATAAAAAAGTGCATAAGAGTGCGCAATATTATTAGTACTTTAAAAATTTACATTAGTTTTTTGAGAAATCGGAAGTAGCGTAAATTACTACTTCCGGTCATTCCGGAAATTACTCAAAATTTGACAGAAGGTAGAGAATTAGATCTTTTACTTACATGTGAAATTTCATTTATCTATCTGAAATAGTACTCAAGGCTTTTGAAAAATTCAAAGTAGAAAAAGTACCACTTCCGGTTATCGGAAATCGCTCAAAAGTTGATACGGATCTACGATTTTGATAAAATACTTATATATGAAATTTCATCAACCTAGCTGTAACTGTACTCAAGTTATCGTGTTTACACACACACACACACACACAGACATACGGACAAGATACAAAATTATGTTTTTCCGTATCAGTGAGGTGTAAAACGTCGAGATTTGTAAAAATCTCGATTTTTATTTTTGCACGATTACAAGACTTTCTCTATACTTCGTATATACGAGAAAGTAAAAACCCCCAAACCATTCCCACAAAGGAACTAGCCAGCACTCCGGGGAACATTATGTATCGGTGTGTTCCTTATTAAAAATGGAAGCCAGAATTGTGATCATGTGACCTGTATGATGAAGGCACCGCCCTTTTGTATTGAAAAACAAAATCACGTGACCTTTGTTCATACTCCTGAGTATTTTTAATTAAACCAGTTAAGTTTTTGCCCCGTCAAAAGGGCCTCGACATATTGACTCCCGTCAAGTGGGAGAAATGTGTATCAAATCTCTACCCCACAAACTGGATATCTTGACTGAACAAAGAATTTTCGGAAGTAGTCCGATTCATAGTCTCTAAATTTAAATCAAACTACTGTTGTTTAAATACAGACTTTTCAGGTACAGATTTTTTTATCAAAGATTCTTAAAAATAGGATATTTTGTTTATAAGTTTGTAGGAAGTCTGAAGGAAGTCAATTTTACAAAAATCCAATCTAAACTGTTGTAATAAAAATTGAATTATTTGGGATGTTTATAAAGTAAGGTATTTGTTATCTTGAATCTCTGTGTATAGGATTTATTATTGGTTTCATTCGGTGATGGCCTTTCTACTGGATGTTAGGTGTATTGTTTCTACATTTTTAGGCAATTTTCAATTCAGATATACATTACCAGGAGCTGTTTTTTTTATTTGCTGAAATAATTTTGTATTGATAAATTTTTTTAAAAATCTACCACATTAGTAAAATATTAAATACTCTTTCTCTCCTACTAAGTTCTTTCTTATCAGTTGTTTCCATTTACTTTATTTAAGGGAAGATGCAATTAAATAAAACTAGCTAGGCAGAGAATTCATTGTTTGGTAATCTCCCTTCTAAGTAACAAAGGCGCTGTTTTTATACATTGTGACTTGTTGACTTAAACCCTCTGTAGAATTTAAACATTTGCAGCATTAAAAACAACAAAATTAGTTTTGTAAATTATGTTATGTAATTATTTTCATTTAAGGGGATCCTAACAATTTTCACAACTGCATTTCAAATCCATTTAGACAATTCAAGTGTTTATTTTCCTTTAACAAATCAAGATGTAATGTTTTAAGTTCTATAAATAGATGACCGAACACATCACCTCAACTCTGCTAAAAACCAGCATTTAAAAACTTCACATGCCAACACAGAGAAGAAGTTAAAGTGAAACCTGTGTTTCTTACAGGTGTCTTTAACATGTCCTCATCAGAAGGTGAATATTGGACATAGCAGATATTGGTTTGCTTTTGTTTTAGTTATATTACATTCTTCATATATAAGATCATGTTCTGGGGACTTGGCCATATATATATATATATATATATATATATATATATATATATATATATATATATATATATATATATATATATATATATATATATATATATATATATATATACGCTACTATGAAAAAAAGAACAAAACACGATCTAGGTCCACAATACAACAGCTTATCACACCAAAACAAAATATACACACAACACAGCAGTTTATCACAAAAAAACAAATAACAAAATATACACACAACACAACGAAATATTGCAAAAAAAAAATAAAAAAAATAAAATTGACATAATGGCATTTTATTTAGTCAAGCGAACGACAGTAGGGGAAATAATCACTCTTAATATAGACATGGATTGATAAACTTGTTTAATTGCAGATTTCAAATTTAAACAGATCAATAACTATTTTACTATTTAATATTGTAGCTTATTACTATTTCCAACATAAATGCTAAAATATCACAGCATAAAAAAGTTTGTGAAAGCTGAGTTGGTATAAAAAAACTAATTTCAAACTAACACTATAATTCATAGATGGATCAGTCTCAATACTAGCCTACAAAATATTTATCTTTACACTGTGACTTTCAGATCTCTACATCTTTGAATTAGCCACTGATTTGTGTGTTCTTTAAAGATTAATTTTTAACATAATGTTAAGGAATGGGAGAGATCATTGTACTGTAGTGCGGCTCATACACCACTTTACTGGTAACTGCAAAAACAATATTCACAAAAGTTCACCTGTTACAAATGCTATGATTCTGATTGTAAAATAAACAACTGGATCTATAGTTATTCTTTATTTGAAATTTGCTTTATTTATATAGTGGAGGCAGGTTCACTCTTAGTCTTATCCACAGTGTTTATAAACTTTATTTATATATTGGAGGCAGGTTCACTCTTAGCCTTATCCACAGTGTTTTTATACCTAATTTACCTGAGGTATTTAAGTACATGTTCATCAAGTACATGTGTACGTGCTGACCATCTTGTTGAAGTTGTGTGAGAAAATGGAGTGGTGTGGCAGAGGCGTAGCGACCCTTTTCGGCGCCCAGGGACTCAAACTTTCGATTAGCACCCCCCACCTTAAACTTTCGATTTGAACCCCCCCCCCTCAAACTTTGATTTGCACCCCCCCCCTCAACCTTTCAATTTTTTTCCAACCCATTTTGTCCCCCTCCCCCCTACGCCTCTGTGGTGTGGTTTGGGACGGGTGGGTTGGGGTTTGGTATACTGCGTGTATTGTGAGGTTTTAGTGTGTAGTGGAGTAGGCTGTGGTGTATTGGGAATGGCGTGGGATAAGTAACTGGGTGTAGATCATGTAAGTAGGCTGTGGTGTATTGGGAATGGCGTGGGATAAGTAACTGGGTGTGGATAATGTAAGTAGGCTGTGGTGTATTGGGAATGGCGTGGGATAAGTAACTGGGTGTGGATCATGTAAGTAGCGCGGCTGAGATGTGGGTTGGGCAATGTACAGTAAAGGGATATAAATCCTGGACAGTGGGTTTTAAATGTGCATTGTAGGGTGTAGTGTTTTTTTGCGGGGTGGGGTGTGCGATGTTGTGGTTTAGGATGTCGGGTGGCGTTCAAGAGAGTGTTGAAGTGTGGGCCGGTGTTGTGCGGGGGTTTGGTTAGGTGTGTAGTTCGTGGTGTCGTACTGTGTAAGGTGGTGTGGATTTTGGTATGGGTGAGGTTTGGAGTGTGGTAAATTGTGTGTATGGTGTGGGATAAGTGACTGGGTGTAGATCGTGGGGTTAGTTTTAGGTTATGCTAATGAAGCTTATTTAAAAACACTACTACAATTCAAAAGGGCAAATAACCATTAAAGTATTTGCGATCTCTGTATCAGCTAACCGAGGGCATGACTTGGTGATAACGGCTGGTTGGTTTTAAATATAATAGCTGACCAGAGAGTAAGAATATTGTCTACGATGAGTTGCAAGATTCTACAACTACGTGCTACAGACTTCCTTAAAAAACTGAAAGAATTATTAAATTCTGTAAATAGCTAGGTTGTATATGAATAATTATTCTTATTCCGCTTAAAAGCTTATGATTATACAGTAATTTTATTTTTATTTCAAACAAAATTCTTGTGAAGCTAGTCAAATAAAAATAAGATACTTTTAATCAGTGTCTTCCTAGTGACCTAAGGTTCTGAAACTAATTTTTAAAAAAATGATGTTTGCATTATTGAATATATATAGAAACAACTGCTTTTTTTCAATGGTCCAGTAGGGTGATAGAGACATTTGCTTTCTTGTACTGGTCCTGTAGACGCTTTGTCAAATAAAGGTGGTACAATCTGGGGGTAAACAAAACATAATACTTCCAAAATTGGGTCTGTGATAGTGAACAGTCAGTTGTTGAAAGCACTAATCTGCGCCCAGACTAGACAACCCGTCCACCAGCTGCGCCCATGTTTCGTGTATCATGTTTCGTGTATCATGTTTCGTGTATCATGTTTCGTGTATCATGTTTCGTGTATCATGTTTCGTGTATCATGTTTCGTGTATCATGTTTCGTGTATCATGTTTCGTGTATCATGTTTCGTGTATCATGTTTCGTGTATCATGTTTCGTGTATCATGTTTCGTGTATCATGTTTCGTGTATCATGTTTCGTGTATCATGTTTCGTGTATCATGTTTCGTGTATCATGTTTCGTGTATCATGTTTCGTGTATCATGTTTCGTGTATCATGTTTCGTGTATCATGTTTCGTGTATCATGTTTCGTGTATCATGTTTCGTGTATCATGTTTCGTGTATCATGTTTCGTGTATCATGTTTCGTGTATCATGTTTCGTGTATCATGTTTCGTGTATCATGTTTCGTGTATCATGTTTCGTGTATCATGTTTCGTGTATCATGTTTCGTGTATCATGTTTCGTGTATCATGTTTCGTGTATCATGTTTCGTGTATCATGTTTCGTGTATCATGTTTCGTGTATCATGTTTCGTGTATCATGTTTCGTGTATCATGTTTCGTGTATCATGTTTCGTGTATCATGTTTCGTGTATCATGTTTCGTGTATCATGTTTCGTGTATCATGTTTCGTGTATCATGTTTCGTGTATCATGTTTCGTGTATCATGTTTCGTGTATCATGTTTCGTGTATCATGTTTCGTGTATCATGTTTCGTGTATCATGTTTCGTGTATCATGTTTCGTGTATCATGTTTCGTGTATCATGTTTCGTGTATCATGTTTCGTGTATCATGTTTCGTGTATCATGTTTCGTGTATCATGTTTCGTGTATCATGTTTCGTGTATCATGTTTCGTGTATCATGTTTCGTGTATCATGTTTCGTGTATCATGTTTCGTGTATCATGTTTCGTGTATCATGTTTCGTGTATCATGTTTCGTGTATCATGTTTCGTGTATCATGTTTCGTGTATCATGTTTCGTGTATCATGTTTCGTGTATCATGTTTCGTGTATCATGTTTCGTGTATCATGTTTCGTGTATCATGTTTCGTGTATCATGTTTCGTGTATCATGTTTCGTGTATCATGTTTCGTGTATCATGTTTCGTGTATCATGTTTCGTGTATCATGTTTCGTGTATCATGTTTCGTGTATCATGTTTCGTGTATCATGTTTCGTGTATCATGTTTCGTGTATCATGTTTCGTGTATCATGTTTCGTGTATCATGTTTCGTGTATCATGTTTCGTGTATCATGTTTCGTGTATCATGTTTCGTGTATCATGTTTCGTGTATCATGTTTCGTGTATCATGTTTCGTGTATCATGTTTCGTGTATCATGTTTCGTGTATCATGTTTCGTGTATCATGTTTCGTGTATCATGTTTCGTGTATCATGTTTCGTGTATCATGTTTCGTGTATCATGTTTCGTGTATCATGTTTCGTGTATCATGTTTCGTGTATCATGTTTCGTGTATCATGTTTCGTGTATCATGTTTCGTGTATCATGTTTCGTGTATCATGTTTCGTGTATCATGTTTCGTGTATCATGTTTCGTGTATCATGTTTCGTGTATCATGTTTCGTGTATCATGTTTCGTGTATCATGTTTCGTGTATCATGTTTCGTGTATCATGTTTCGTGTATCATGTTTCGTGTATCATGTTTCGTGTATCATGTTTCGTGTATCATGTTTCGTGTATCATGTTTCGTGTATCATGTTTCGTGTATCATGTTTCGTGTATCATGTTTCGTGTATCATGTTTCGTGTATCATGTTTCGTGTATCATGTTTCGTGTATCATGTTTCGTGTATCATGTTTCGTGTATCATGTTTCGTGTATCATGTTTCGTGTATCATGTTTCGTGTATCATGTTTCGTGTATCATGTTTCGTGTATCATGTTTCGTGTATCATGTTTCGTGTATCATGTTTCGTGTATCATGTTTCGTGTATCATGTTTCGTGTATCATGTTTCGTGTATCATGTTTCGTGTATCATGTTTCGTGTATCATGTTTCGTGTATCATGTTTCGTGTATCATGTTTCGTGTATCATGTTTCGTGTATCATGTTTCGTGTATCATGTTTCGTGTATCATGTTTCGTGTATCATGTTTCGTGTATCATGTTTCGTGTATCATGTTTCGTGTATCATGTTTCGTGTATCATGTTTCGTGTATCATGTTTCGTGTATCATGTTTCGTGTATCATGTTTCGTGTATCATGTTTCGTGTATCATGTTTCGTGTATCATGTTTCGTGTATCATGTTTCGTGTATCATGTTTCGTGTATCATGTTTCGTGTATCATGTTTCGTGTATCATGTTTCGTGTATCATGTTTCGTGTATCATGTTTCGTGTATCATGTTTCGTGTATCATGTTTCGTGTATCATGTTTCGTGTATCATGTTTCGTGTATCATGTTTCGTGTATCATGTTTCGTGTATCATGTTTCGTGTATCATGTTTCGTGTATCATGTTTCGTGTATCATGTTTCGTGTATCATGTTTCGTGTATCATGTTTCGTGTATCATGTTTCGTGTATCATGTTTCGTGTATCATGTTTCGTGTATCATGTTTCGTGTATCATGTTTCGTGTATCATGTTTCGTGTATCATGTTTCGTGTATCATGTTTCGTGTATCATGTTTCGTGTATCATGTTTCGTGTATCATGTTTCGTGTATCATGTTTCGTGTATCATGTTTCGTGTATCATGTTTCGTGTATCATGTTTCGTGTATCATGTTTCGTGTATCATGTTTCGTGTATCATGTTTCGTGTATCATGTTTCGTGTATCATGTTTCGTGTATCATGTTTCGTGTATCATGTTTCGTGTATCATGTTTCGTGTATCATGTTTCGTGTATCATGTTTCGTGTATCATGTTTCGTGTATCATGTTTCGTGTATCATGTTTCGTGTATCATGTTTCGTGTATCATGTTTCGTGTATCATGTTTCGTGTATCATGTTTCGTGTATCATGTTTCGTGTATCATGTTTCGTGTATCATGTTTCGTGTATCATGTTTCGTGTATCATGTTTCGTGTATCATGTTTCGTGTATCATGTTTCGTGTATCATGTTTCGTGTATCATGTTTCGTGTATCATGTTTCGTGTATCATGTTTCGTGTATCATGTTTCGTGTATCATGTTTCGTGTATCATGTTTCGTGTATCATGTTTCGTGTATCATGTTTCGTGTATCATGTTTCGTGTATCATGTTTCGTGTATCATGTTTCGTGTATCATGTTTCGTGTATCATGTTTCGTGTATCATGTTTCGTGTATCATGTTTCGTGTATCATGTTTCGTGTATCATGTTTCGTGTATCATGTTTCGTGTATCATGTTTCGTGTATCATGTTTCGTGTATCATGTTTCGTGTATCATGTTTCGTGTATCATGTTTCGTGTATCATGTTTCGTGTATCATGTTTCGTGTATCATGTTTCGTGTATCATGTTTCGTGTATCATGTTTCGTGTATCATGTTTCGTGTATCATGTTTCGTGTATCATGTTTCGTGTATCATGTTTCGTGTATCATGTTTCGTGTATCATGTTTCGTGTATCATGTTTCGTGTATCATGTTTCGTGTATCATGTTTCGTGTATCATGTTTCGTGTATCATGTTTCGTGTATCATGTTTCGTGTATCATGTTTCGTGTATCATGTTTCGTGTATCATGTTTCGTGTATCATGTTTCGTGTATCATGTTTCGTGTATCATGTTTCGTGTATCATGTTTCGTGTATCATGTTTCGTGTATCATGTTTCGTGTATCATGTTTCGTGTATCATGTTTCGTGTATCATGTTTCGTGTATCATGTTTCGTGTATCATGTTTCGTGTATCATGTTTCGTGTATCATGTTTCGTGTATCATGTTTCGTGTATCATGTTTCGTGTATCATGTTTCGTGTATCATGTTTCGTGTATCATGTTTCGTGTATCATGTTTCGTGTATCATGTTTCGTGTATCATGTTTCGTGTATCATGTTTCGTGTATCATGTTTCGTGTATCATGTTTCGTGTATCATGTTTCGTGTATCATGTTTCGTGTATCATGTTTCGTGTATCATGTTTCGTGTATCATGTTTCGTGTATCATGTTTCGTGTATCATGTTTCGTGTATCATGTTTCGTGTATCATGTTTCGTGTATCATGTTTCGTGTATCATGTTTCGTGTATCATGTTTCGTGTATCATGTTTCGTGTATCATGTTTCGTGTATCATGTTTCGTGTATCATGTTTCGTGTATCATGTTTCGTGTATCATGTTTCGTGTATCATGTTTCGTGTATCATGTTTCGTGTATCATGTTTCGTGTATCATGTTTCGTGTATCATGTTTCGTGTATCATGTTTCGTGTATCATGTTTCGTGTATCATGTTTCGTGTATCATGTTTCGTGTATCATGTTTCGTGTATCATGTTTCGTGTATCATGTTTCGTGTATCATGTTTCGTGTATCATGTTTCGTGTATCATGTTTCGTGTATCATGTTTCGTGTATCATGTTTCGTGTATCATGTTTCGTGTATCATGTTTCGTGTATCATGTTTCGTGTATCATGTTTCGTGTATCATGTTTCGTGTATCATGTTTCGTGTATCATGTTTCGTGTATCATGTTTCGTGTATCATGTTTCGTGTATCATGTTTCGTGTATCATGTTTCGTGTATCATGTTTCGTGTATCATGTTTCGTGTATCATGTTTCGTGTATCATGTTTCGTGTATCATGTTTCGTGTATCATGTTTCGTGTATCATGTTTCGTGTATCATGTTTCGTGTATCATGTTTCGTGTATCATGTTTCGTGTATCATGTTTCGTGTATCATGTTTCGTGTATCATGTTTCGTGTATCATGTTTCGTGTATCATGTTTCGTGTATCATGTTTCGTGTATCATGTTTCGTGTATCATGTTTCGTGTATCATGTTTCGTGTATCATGTTTCGTGTATCATGTTTCGTGTATCATGTTTCGTGTATCATGTTTCGTGTATCATGTTTCGTGTATCATGTTTCGTGTATCATGTCTCGCGTATCATGTCTCACGTATCATGTCTCACGTATCATGTCTCACGTATCATGTCTCACGTATCATGTCTCACGTATCATGTCTCACGTATCATGTCTCACGTATCATGTCTCACGTATCATGTCTCACGTATCATGTCTCACGTATCATGTCTCACGTATCATGTCTCACGTATCATGTCTCACGTATCATGTCTCACGTATCATGTCTCACGTATCATGTCTCACGTATCATGTCTCACGTATCATGTCTCACGTATCATGTCTCACGTATCATGTCTCACGTATCATGTCTCACGTATCATGTCTCACGTATCATGTCTCACGTATCATGTCTCACGTATCATGTCTCACGTATCATGTCTCACGTATCATGTCTCACGTATCATGTCTCACGTATCATGTCTCACGTATCATGTCTCACGTATCATGTCTCACGTATCATGTCTCACGTATCATGTCTCACGTATCATGTCTCACGTATCATGTCTCACGTATCATGTCTCACGTATCATGTCTCACGTATCATGTCTCACGTATCATGTCTCACGTATCATGTCTCACGTATCATGTCTCACGTATCATGTCTCACGTATCATGTCTCACGTATCATGTCTCACGTATCATGTCTCACGTATCATGTCTCACGTATCATGTCTCACGTATCATGTCTCACGTATCATGTCTCACGTATCATGTCTCACGTATCATGTCTCACGTATCATGTCTCACGTATCATGTCTCACGTATCATGTCTCACGTATCATGTCTCACGTATCATGTCTCACGTATCATGTCTCACGTATCATGTCTCACGTATCATGTCTCACGTATCATGTCTCACGTATCATGTCTCACGTATCATGTCTCACGTATCATGTCTCACGTATCATGTCTCACGTATCATGTCTCACGTATCATGTCTCACGTATCATGTCTCACGTATCATGTCTCACGTATCATGTCTCACGTATCATGTCTCACGTATCATGTCTCACGTATCATGTCTCACGTATCATGTCTCACGTATCATGTCTCACGTATCATGTCTCACGTATCATGTCTCACGTATCATGTCTCACGTATCATGTCTCACGTATCATGTCTCACGTATCATGTCTCACGTATCATGTCTCACGTATCATGTCTCACGTATCATGTCTCACGTATCATGTCTCACGTATCATGTCTCACGTATCATGTCTCACGTATCATGTCTCACGTATCATGTCTCACGTATCATGTCTCACGTATCATGTCTCACGTATCATGTCTCACGTATCATGTCTCACGTATCATGTCTCACGTATCATGTCTCACGTATCATGTCTCACGTATCATGTCTCACGTATCATGTCTCACGTATCATGTCTCACGTATCATGTCTCACGTATCATGTCTCACGTATCATGTCTCACGTATCATGTCTCACGTATCATGTCTCACGTATCATGTCTCACGTATCATGTCTCACGTATCATGTCTCACGTATCATGTCTCACGTATCATGTCTCACGTATCATGTCTCACGTATCATGTCTCACGTATCATGTCACACGTATCCTAAACACACAACCAGACGAACACACATCAAACAGACCTTAAAGTCCTTAAGCCGAGTACTCTTGCAGGAGATCTGCCCATGATGGGTCCACTCGATGGGTCCACTCGATGATGGGTCCACTTGATTATGGGTAGACTATATGAAGGGTCCACTTGAGGATGGGCCCACTCGATGATCGGTCGACTTGATGATGGGTCCACTTGCTGGGTCCACTCGATGATGGGTCCACTCGATTATGGGTGGACTCGATGATGGCGTGTAAAGTAGCTGTCGACAGCATCACATAAATGTTCTCCCCAACTTCCGGTGAAAGTTCCGGTATCCAAATCACCCTGTGATGAAATAAGTAATAACATAATGAAGAATTTTGTAATGTTTGTCATCTTATCAACGATTTAATAAACTTGCTGTTTTGTTATACGGTAATTTATTTTTATCTTACAGTTTATTACTTTATTTCCATCATTCAGAACAAAGAGGAGAATACTTTGTATTGACTTCAGTGTTTTATTATTTACAGCAGACAACTCTGACTATACGTTAACAGACTGAACATTCAAGGGAAGTAACTATGATATGTATAATACAAGGGAGGTAACAATAACTAACAAGATATAATTTAAATCTTACTAAATAATTTTATATTCTATATATATTGTATTATGTCTTTTGTGTCTATGTTCGAATCGTTTAGGAAATGGTCCTGTATAACATAATTTTGAAAAAAAAAGTTTTTCTTTAAAAAGAGGGGGTGGGCGGGGGAAGAGACAACTTTCCTGACGAAAAGTATTAAATCCCATAATATGACTAAATTATCCTAATAATATGAAAGCCAGTGTGCACACCTCTCTCTCTGTCTCTCTCTCTCTCTTTTTCTCTGTCCGCAAAATATTTTCCGAGGCAATGAGATCAGTATCTTCAGCGATATATGGATGTATGGAGACCTTAATGAAACGGGCTTTTGTTGCAAACTATATGTTGGATTATTAAATGTATAACCTAAATTGTATTTAAAGAAGGAAGATGAAAAAGGAATTATCGAATGTAGAAACTTTTTAAATCATGCAACTGGAAAAGTGTTTATGGTTGTGACAAGAACTCTTTAGAGAACATACACATTTAAAAACAATGGCGTCATCGCTTTCAGGATAAAAATAGAATGTCGAAAATGATACACAATACTAATGAAGTCATCTTCAATAATATTTGCTTTCCACATTTTCCAATTATAGAATATGAAGAAAGGAACTATTTCGCTCAAATTAGATTTAAATCTATAGATTCTAGATCGGCCTATCAAGACTTATGCTATAAATGTAGACCTTTATAATTTTCTCGGGCAAAAAAATACGTTTTTGATCGCTTATAGTAGAGTGATCGCTTGCATTTTTGTGATGTATAGCATTTATTTTCTACGTTTTAGTTCAATCAGAAAACGTGGGTTTTTAAAAACTTTTTTAATGATTATTATTTTCTACTTTTTAGTCTTTGTCTGTTTGTTTGCATTAAAATCTTGCTATCGATTTTATCTTTTCACTTTTTTTTGGGTAAACGAAGACAACTCGTAAAAAGACAACTCGTAAAAAGACAACTCGTAAAAAACACGTTGTGTGAATACGTTACTGACTAGAACACATAGATTTGAACCCGTGTCGAGTGGGATAGCAATCGTGTGCCCAACCACTCGACCATATCGTCTCCCCCATACTGGCCACCAGTTGTTACGGTTGTTTGTACACAAATTACAGTTACTGGGTTATGCCCCTTTTCCCCCACGTTTTTACTAGAACGAGCCGACCCGCGGCGTATCATACGCCGCTATTTAGTTGATTTATTTTCTACTTTCAGTAATTCATAATTTGTGAATTCGACAGTACCAATGCTGCCACTGAAAATATTTGCTTTAAAACACTAACTCCCTCCTTTCCCCTAACCCCGACCCTACACCCCCCCCCCGTGAAAGCAGCCTCCTCTTAGTTACCTCCTGTAAGTTTAAAGTCGGTTCAAACTTAATTATCTGCCCCTAATAGCCGTCACTAAACCTGGCTGTACGGTTTGTAAACATTAACGTGACCACAGCTCAGCAGACCATGTGGGGGTGGGGTAGGGTGGTAGTGATAGAGAGAAAGAGAGGGGACTGTAAGGAGGCGCTTGCAGCTTGTTTTCTAACGGCTCGCAGAGGAGAATTATATATATATACGAGCCGGCCCGCGGCATAACATACGCCGCTATTTAGTTGTTTCTAATTTTCAATAATTCATAATTTGTGAATTCGACAGTACCAACGCTGACACTGAAAATATTTCTTTAAAACACTATAAGTAGCTCGTTAAGGACCATAACCCCCCCCCCCTTCCTTCCTTCCCCCCTCCTTCCCCCCCCCCCCCTACGTTTAAAATCGTTGGCTCTGCTTGTAAACATTTAGAGTGAACACAGCTCACTAAAACCATGTAGGGGTGGGGAGGTAGGGAGAGTGTTTGCAGCTTGTTTTCTAACGGCTCGAAGAAGAGAATTATATATATAGATAGATTATATAGCGGTCTAAAATGCTCAATAAAATGTTTCCATGGATCAATTTAGTAATAATAATTGAATATTCTATTGTCATCCAAAACAAAGCTTCCCTGAAAATTTCAGCGCGCTAGCTAACTGGGAAGTGCCAGAAATTTCGATCGCAAGATTTGATTGGAAAGACAGAGACGAAAGCAAGTTAAAGAAAACGTGGGAAAAAAACAACACGAATAACAGCCGGGCTTTTAACGGAATCATTTTTTAAGTCTGTTAATCAGTTTCTGCATTTAATATGGTTTTGCGTTGACTAATAATGTATATAATTTGGTTTTTCTAATAGGTATTGGTAGCCTATGTTATTTTAAATGTTGTCGGATTTTTAGCTATTTAGTTATTTCTTTATTGTGTCACTAATATCGTTCAACGTGTAGTAAAGAACATTGCGTGTTGGCCAATAACTATTTTATAAATTATTTTTCTCAAACAAGAATAACAAAAATGAGGGATATAATGACGGGTACCGATGGCTAGTAGTTTACCATAGGTATTCGAGGCTATGCAAAGTAAATATCTCATGCTACTAACTACTTTATATACTTTGTATATTTCTTTTAGACCTATATGAGTAAGTGAAAAGTAAAAAGTTAAAAATGTTAGCCCTTATCAATTTTAAATATCCTGTACAATGATAGTATACAAAACTTACCTCAACCCTCGTCATCAATGTGATGCTGTTATGTAAATCAGCGTTGTTTCATGGCAGTAATAAAGATAAGTTATCCAGACACATGAAATATGAGCACCTCGTCGTTAATGTGATGCTGTTATGTAGGTCGGTGCTGTTTCAAGGCCATGAGAAAGATAAATTATCCAAACACATGAAACATTTTATTGAAATTCCTAAATTCAAGATGGAGGTCTCAGTCCAAACGATCAGCGCCTGTTCCCAAAGACACATGACTAGATTCTGCACTAACGGATGGCCTACACTGCGCATGTCATCTCACAATATCCTGTCACACAATGAGCACTTGTCAAAACAAACACGGGTACTGGATGACATTCTATTTGCCACTGTGCTACACACATCCATTGGCGGAACTAGAAAAAAGCCCACCCGCAGAATTTTTTTGGGGCCCCTATATATATATATATATATATATATATATATATATATATATATATATATATATATATATATATATATATATATATATATATATATATATATATATATATATATATATATAACAATGTATGTATGTGTGTGTGTGTGTTTTGTATGCATTACTACACCTCTTATCACATCGCCGTGAAACTTTTGGATGTTTTTGAGAATATTTCTGCGGAGGTTACTGCGAAAAAACATATTTCAATTTCGTGGGGTGGCGCCCTGGCAGGGCGCGATTTGTTTTTTTCTCTATATACGGTATATCAAAATAAAAGTCGATTTTGGTTTGACACCATTCATCCTATCGCCATCAAACTTTGGTGAGTTAGAACACTCTGGGGAAGGTTTCTGTAAAAAAATCATTTTTATTTTCGCAAGGGCGGCGCCACGGGAGGGTGCGATTTTTCTCTATGTACGGTCTATTAAAAAAAAAAAGTCGATTTTAATTTGACACCCTTCATACGATAGTAGGGGGTCGGCTCATGGTTGCTAAACCGAAAAGTCTCGAGTTCGAACCCTCGGGCAGATGAGGCTCGTTAGCTGGGGACAGGAGAGACAACTCCAAATATCAAACAACTGCTGCCTTGTAGTTTGTTCTTGGTTAGACAAAGGCTATGGAAGCAAATCCAAAAAGAAAAGCAGGCTGAAATGAAATCAGAGTTAATGGCCTCAATGGCGCATAACCAGTTGACACATAACGCTTAATTGTGTTGGAGGCGTGGTCGAGTCGGCAAAAAGCTCATGGTTGATGAATTCGAACTAAGTCTCGAGTTCAAACCCACTGGCAGATAAATCACTATCACCATGACCTTCCACTTATAGCTGTAGGTTTGTCGCCATGACCTTCCACCTATAGCTGTAGGCTAGGTCTATCAATGACCTTCCACCTATAGCTGTAGGTCTATCAATGACCTTCCACCTAAAGCTGTATGTCTATCACCTACTACTTTTGATGACAGTGTAGCTACCCGTACCTGTGTTTTGTCACCATGCCCTCGTTTTGGCTATGGTCCCAAATTGTGACAGACCTCAGAGTAATGTTATATCTAGTACAACAGTTCCTTAGGTTGTAATAGCCTCGGGATCCAGATCTATTGGCAAAGTTACAGCCAATTATTTTAATTGCCAACACTATAGCTAAATAATTTAAAATCGGGTTTCTAAAATCTCGAACATTATTTGCGTGTTAAAACCGGCAACCATCAACGTATGTTGTGTTGTACCTGGAACATCAACGTATGTTGTAGCTGGAACATCAACGTATGTTGTACCTGGAACATCAACGTATGTTGTACCTGGGCCATCAACGTATGTTGTGTTGTACCTGGGCCATCAACGTATGTTGTACCTGGGCCATCAACGTATGTTGTACCTGGGCCATCAACGTATGTTGTACCTGGGCCATCAACGTATGTTGTACCTGGGCCATCAACGTATGTTGTACCTGGGCCATCAACGTATGTTGTACCTGGGCCATCAACATATGTTGTACCTTGATATCTAACAATACCCCTGGTGTCCAATACATTTTTAATTAGCCCCAGGTGCGCTTGACGTTTTTAGAACTCGTTTAATTACCTCCTGGATCCAATTACGTTGATTGCCATTGTTTCCTGCGGTGAAAACATTTCCGCTTTTACATTTTTAAACAGTTTTCTTTTCGGTCGTTCGTTTTTCCAACAACAAAAACATCATCTTTATTTTTAGTTTTTCTGGCTTTTTAAAATTTTAATTAACTTTAATTCTCTACAAATTGTTCTGGCCACATTCAACAATCGGAAACTGTTCATACTAAATACCATTAAGTTGATAGCTAAAAAAAAAAGTTAAATATAAAAAATAACCAAAGTAAAAAGTAAAAGTAATTTAATTAGAATTTTGATGAGAAGATGGCATGGATCTAAAGCTTAATTAATGCTTGATGTGACGGTGACAATGCATTCAAATTTATTAACGAGAGTACATGCCATTTCCTGCCCTATCATTAAATTTTCATCTAATCGAGCCACTTGGCCAATCTCCTATGTTAATTAAAAACCCAGAAACTCCCAAAGGAGACCTAAAATCATCAAACGATTTAGAAAAAAAAAAGATCCTAGACTTATTTTCAAAGCGAATGCTGCTACGTAATTTCCTGTTGACCTACTCTATCTCCCCAGTTGTCAGTCAGTCTCAAAGAGGAAGCGCGCGATCTAGATGTCAAGGTGACGTCATCATACCAAATTGACCAGTTCCCAGAGGGCGCGATTTCGACACTTTTATCAAACATTTATGGCTTCAACCAGGGCTAGAGGACATTGCTGACCCACACAAACGCACACGTGATGTGTAAGTGTGTGAGCAGTTTGTGTTCCCACACAAATACACACGTGATGTGTGTGTGTGTGATCAATTTGTGGACCCACACACACACACGTGATGTGATAGTGTGTGATCAATTGATGGACCCACACAAATACACACGTGATGTGTGAGTGTGTGATCAATTCATAGACCCACACAAATACACACGTGATGTGTGAGTGTGTGATCAATTCATAGACCCACACAAATACACACGTGATGTGTGAGTGTGTGATCAATTCATGGACTCACACACACACGTGATGTGATAGTGTGTGATCAATTCATGGACCCACACAAATACACACGTGATGTGTGAGTGTGTGATCAATTCGTGGACCCACACAACCGCACATGCTGTGTGTGGGTGGGCAGTTTGTGTTCCCACACAACCACATATGCTGTGTGTGGGTGGGCAGTTTGTGTTCCCACACAACCACTCATGCTGTGTGTGGGTGGGCAGTTTGTGTTCCCACACAACCACTCATGCTGTGTGTGTGTGAGTTCTTGTCCGCTTTACTCCGTTAGATAGACGTGTCTTAAAAGTTTATCTGTTCTAGGCAGTCATTCAGAGGTTAACTATTGAAGTAGATCTTATATCGCTGCATCTTTTGATATTTAATTGTTGAGTATTCTGGTTACAGCTTTTAAAAAAGCTAGATGTATTTCTAAAGCAAGTCATGCTTACACACATGTAATATAAGATGATTAAAACTTTGTGCTGTCTCTAATTACATTTTGGGAACAGTTTTAACGTTTTAATTTTATTTAAAAATTATAATAATGTTGATTTGTTAATTACAACTTAATTATCCATTCTCTACACACCAGAAGTAAGTCTTAGAAAACCTAAAAACCTTAGCAGTGTTGTGAAATATTTGAGAGATTCGAGATGTAGTCTACGTGTGTAGTTTGCTGTGGTTGATGAAGAATCTCATTACATAATGAATTAAACCACAGTTAATTAATTCGTTTGTCGATCCACTCTTTTTGTCTTAAAATGTCCAGGTTATGAACCCATTTCATATAATTAGTACATTCACACCAATTAACATTCCAAATTGTCCAAATTATGAACCCATTTGATATACGGCTTACATTTACAGCAATTAACATTCTAAAATATTTTTTTTTGTTTCGCCAAAAATGATATAAAGTTCAGACTAATCTAGAAAAAAATCTGTTACATTCGCCAAAATCAAGTTATCAAAAATGTTAACCTATTTTCAATAACAGCACGATGATGGGTTGGGGGAGGGGGGGGGGGTATTTAATACTGAGCACTGTACGCTTCCCTTGACGTAGGAAAAAAGTTGATTCGTTTTTTTTTTTGTCAATCAAAAGGACAATGATGGTAAAATAAAGAAACGAAATTGAAGGAGGAAAAAAAAACTAATACATCATCGAGAATGGACAGGTCAGAAAATGATTGAATGTGTCTTGAGTTTTTGCGCGGATGTTTTGACATTTTCTCGCCAGGCTGTGAGCCGATTAGACAAGTCAAGGGGAGGTTTGGAGATTAAAAACCTTCATTGACACACTTTCTATTTTTAGAACCGGGAATCTGCTTGTTTATATCCTCCTGTGGTGACGTCGTTTCCGGCTACAATTGTCCGGCAATCAAGTTATTGGTGCCGGCACTAGACAGAGTTTAAACTCAAAGTCTGAAGTTTCAAGTAGAAAATTCTACAAACAGGAAATGCGAAGACATGCTAAGAAAGAAACAAATTTTATAAATCGAAAAAAACGAATTTCAATGTTTTTTTTTTTTTTTTTTTTTTTTTGATAATGTTGGTGTAAGGCTGTTCTAACCGTAATTTTTAATTGATTTTCATACATTATAAAACCATTAACAAACCCCGCCTCTCTTGAAATAATTAGATTCAAATGCTTTTTTTTCCCCAAGCAATTTTCTTTTTTTTTCAAAAAAAAAAAAAGATATAAAAAATACGGAGCTATTTTTAGACATTTGAGGCAGAAATTTCCGGACATCTACAGCAGTAGACTCGGAGAAATATTTTTTTTCTCATTTCCTGGGGATGTGTTGACGGAACGATAAACACTGGGCCGATTTCACATCGTACATCCCACGTGACTTGAGATTGCACATGGATGCACGATTTAATATGCCAGGTAATAGACGCAGGCTGGGCCATGTACACTCTTCTAAACAAATTCTTCCTCATCACGCGAGGGAGGCTGGAATATTGGAGCAAATACTGCCATAGGAGTCGAATATTTGAGCTGTCTTTCTCATAGGAGTCGAATATTTGAGCTAACTCTTTCTCATAGGAGTCGAATATTTGAGCTAAATCTTTCTCATAGGAGTCGAATATTTGAGCTAAATTTTTCTCATAGGAGTCGAATATTTGAGCTAAATCTTTCTCATAGGATCGAATATTTGAGCTAAATCTTTCTCATAGGAGTCGA